ATTGGCATTGACAGTCATACTGTGAGAATTTCGAGAATTGACACTAGTAGCCATATTGTGGTGGGTGTATTCAAGACCGATTCTTACAATGCAGTAAGAATTCGATAATAGAGAATTGAGTTGTTTTATCCTTGAGACGGCGTGGTTGATAGTCTGTTTGCACATTTTGCGAAGTAACACGAAATGTAAAGAGAGCGACATAGTCGTAACTCAGTCATAAGTATTATTTCGTGCCATTTAGAATTGCTACAAGTTACGGTAACAATTGATATAGTGTAACCAATTACAACAACAAATAATCGATTATTTCTTGAGACAGTAAGTTGGGGTAATCGATTACGTCACGATATAACCGATTTTAAAGAGTTGTTAAAACCATATTTTCAAATTTAAACTAAACAATTTTCATCCAAACTCAATGTGTTCATTCAAATTGTGTCCAAACTTCCTTGAATGGTATATTGAGTGATTGAAATTTTATTTAAAAGGTTTGGAATACACATTTAAGAGACGAAAATTTCAGACCATAATAAACAATTTTTTTAAACAATTCTTTGCACTCTTTTGCAACTTTTTGTTCCAAACTTTCATATTTTTCTAAAGTTACTTTAAGTATATCTTCTAAAAAATTTCAAAACTTAAACACTTCTAAGAACATTGTTTACTAAATGTATTGAGAGCAAAATAAATATAAGTTATACAATTGTCATATCTTGTAAAGGCAATCCAACTATATATTCATTCCTCATCATATTGTAAAACCTGGCATCATAAGGATATTTGTAAGTGTATAAGATACAAAGAGTCTTGATGAGAGAACTTGTAATTATCAGTCAAAATATATAGTAAATAAATCTTTTATGCTAAAAGAGTACTTATATTTTTAGTAGACGTGAAAAGACCACCCCTGATCCCATTCCTTCTAGCTCAGGAACTTATATTTTTAATCTGAGCTTGTACCAAGCTCCTTTCCGTGTAAGCTATTCCATGCGATGTCTTTCACAAAGGTACAGGGATTTTTTAATCGATAGAGCTGGTTCATCTTTTCTTCCCTCGTAGTAACTCGGTCTCTCTAATACATCAATATGGTAGATAGATCAGGTAGAAGATCAGCCGCTAATCCGCTACTCTCGGTTCGACCGGCTTCAAAGCTTTTTCACTTTTTTCGCTTAGCGCTTCCACCGATGCCTGAATGCTACTTTCGTCTACGTATGGGTTATCTATATATATATTAATATATAATAGAATAGATAGACCTAATTCTAAGATAAGAGAAAATCTCTTCCCTGAAGATAGGAACGAGGCTATTCGACTACCAAGATTTTGGGTTGAACCAATAGCAGGAGTTGACCCCTAAGCTATGGGAGTTTCAAGAGCCTTTGGTTAACGTAGTTACAAATAGCGAATATCCGCCTCTTCCCTGCTCCCGCATATGTTTAAGATGCCAGTCGACCAGGAGAACCATACCGGAAGGTGTCTTCGGTAGGCTGAGAAAACGCTTGGAACGAAGAAACTTAATAGACTCCTCACAAGAAGTCTGTGAAAGTAAGTCGTTATTTGGATCGTAAGCATAACGAACGAACCAAATGAGACCACAATGGATACCCTTCAACGTCCATTTCAGTGACAGACAGATTCAATGAAACCGTTGCACTTGAATGTGCGTAAAGAAGAAACCAGTGTATCTTCGTAAAAGAGACCTTGACGCCTCCGATCCGGCGACCTGGACGGAATGGCTTTCCAAGTAAGTTGGGTTCCAGATAATGCCTTGACACAAAGAAAGGAAAATATAGAACCAAGGTATCGTACGATTAGCCTTGCAGAACCTTTTGAGCAAGAATCTCCGTAAGGAAAGAAGATTAAGCTGAATCGGAGGCACATCAGAGATGGTTGTGATAGACTTAAGAATACTTCTATCAACTCGCTTAGCGAGTCGGATAGCTCTACATACTTAAAAAAAAAGGTATTCTATATATTAACTAAGGTATCTGCTCTCTTTCACTCTCATCAACTTTCGATGATAATAGGGAATAATCTTACAATATCCTGTTCTCGTAAGAGAAAGAGGAACGGATTCATAAACCAGATTTTTGAGGAACCCCAGCATAAGCTTGCTGGAGTGACACTGCACACTGCTTTAAATAAAGCGCAGTGAACAGTGGCCCGGATTTCCGGTTTAGGTGCATTACCCGCTTAGCCACAGGAGACGCTCCAACACAGTATTCTTTGGTTAGTCCGTCGGCGATTACTAGTAGGATTCTTTAAAATAAAGAGACCTACTAGTAGTCTCGGCTTGCTCTTTTGACCTACCTTGAGAAGGGAAATTCCTACGAGATGATTAATGAATGTAGGTCAGGTCTCTCTAATTCGCAGTAGGTGTGTATGCTTCTTCGACTGACTCAAATGTCTTTCTTCATTGACTGCTTCATCAACAGAATCGCCGGAATCAACCGGCTCCACTGAAGCAACTACTCGCTCTGGATCTGCAACTTGAAGATATGAATATAGGCATAGGTAAAGGTATGGTCAAAGGCAATCGCAGTGGTTGTTTCACCCCAGAGTAGATTCACTCATAGCAGATACAAAGGCAGGAGCAAACAAACAGCTAAGTAAAAGCAGCAGAGAGTCGCTATACGGGGGCAGCAGAGCCCGTTGATTCAGAACCACCTATTTATCCATAAGGGCATCGAGCCCCAGGCATAAATAAGTAGGTGAATCCACAAAACTACTTGCAGAGGTGGAGGCACCAGCGATGAAAGCAGTGGGAGAGGCATTGAAAAAGGCAGCAGGAAAGCCTGGGAGCCAGCCCGCAGTAGAAAAACCAGCAAATCGAGTTGCAGAAAGAAGAATTGGTCATTCGACAAGTGCTTGCCTTCCTATCTATATATGTAGTTCTTATATAGATCAGCCCCAAGGTTTCTTAACTCTAATGCGTAACAAGTGGTGTTAGGGCATTCGTAGTCTTTGTTACTTGCACCAGTCGTTACACTGACGCCAACCAAATTAAGGCCGACATGGAGCCATGCGCATGATTCCAAGAGTCACTAGAGGCGAAACTTAGTAAGAATAACCAGTAATGTCACGAATGGATGAAGCAAGCACTTTTAGATGGTATCGATCAGAGCCAATCAACCCTTTTCCCTGATTATCGTCACTTAAATCCCACTAGCCGAAATATAATCCGTCAAGTAAGAGATAAGCCAGAGATCCAGATCATTAGAATACGTCACCGGCCACTAGATCCAGGGATGGGCCTTCTCTAGGTACAAAAAGAGTAGGTTATTCCTATCACTAGGAGTAGTCGCGCTAGCGGCGCAGAAGGAGAAAGTAACTAAGCGCTAAGAAGCTATCTAGATAGTTTCCAGCTGAGGGAAATTGGCTTCGATTGGTCTTAGCTTCGACTCGTAGTCTTCGACCACTCTTCTTCTTATCCCCTAAGGTAGCTTGCTTCCATTCAGGTAGCTATTGCCGAGAAATGGCCGAAAAAAGTCAAGTCTTATTCCACTTGCTTTCTCGCTTTACTTGAAAACTGGAAAAACTAACTAGGCAGCTATCGGAAAGAAAATAAACAAGTAGTTTACTACGCAGGCTTTTTTTTATAGAGAGAGAGTAAGGGGGTTTGCTTGCTGGCTCTCAGGGCTTATAGTCGGTTTTTTTCTAAGGTATTCCCTTTCATTAGCTACGCTCAGGTTTCACCAACTTCGCGTCGGGTTCACTGAAGTGAAATCTTGTTAAAGCAAACCAACGGTTGGTTGAACCTTAGGACGGTAGCGAAAGGAACCTTCTAGCTAACCGGGTCAATTCAAACTCACTACATACTAAATTCCATTGAGAACCCGGCGTAATTGGTTTTCTCCAGCGGCTCTTTTTCCTATATTCTTTCAGATGGCCCTGCTACGTCTGCCCACTACAGAACAGGCCTGACTCCCGTGAGCAGGTCCGCTGGCTCTTAGTATGGCTTTTTACTTTTCTGATCCGGCATGATAACAACTCGAACTCAACTTCTATTCTTTCAAGAGCAAGAGAAAGGCACCGAGATCCCGCGTAAGCGTCGTTTGCCCGTTGCCAATAGGATCGACTTGGGTAGTAAGATAAAATTGTGAGATTAAAAAATACGAAAGTAAGGGGCCGGAAATCTTGGGATCAAAAGGTTTTTCTAAAGGACTGTAAATCCTTGCTCCTAGGATCCAAGAAGAAGGGCTTTTTGGTTTTTAAATTCCTAAGACTACCCTACTAGTACTAGTGTAGTGTCTACTGAATGAGTCGTGAATTAGATTTGATGGGCCGATGGAGAATCAAATTAGGAGTTGTGGAAAGGACAAAATCAAATACTATTTATCAAGACTCGCGATAGGATTTGAGTGCTCAGTCATTCAATATTTGATGGGTGATTTTTTCTTATAAAAAAAAATTATAAAAAAAGGTAGCTTGCTTACTTAGTGCTTGTGCTAAGGGATGACTTGGTTGCTTTTTTTTTATATGCCCATACTATAGTTTCGATAGATCCCGGGATCAATACAATAAAAAAACCTATTAATTAGAGTAGAGCAGTTGACGTTGGATTATTTCGAATTGATTGGAAGAAGGAATAATAGGTGTAGCGAAGAAAATAAAATAGGAGCTAGAAAGAAAGGGTAGGTTGAATCTGAAAAGTACTCTGTGGGGGTAACTATGTTAAGTTAATTGCGTATCGTAAAAAAAAAATCAAATTAGATTTTTTGTGCTCCCGGGAAATAAATTGCTACTCTATTCGATGGGCCAGGAACAATCGAAAAAAGCCAGACCTGTACGGTATATCTATTAATCCTTACTTAATATGCTTAATATGGTGATACCCCCAATTGTACCAACCTACATATGTCTCTCCTCCATCAATCGGTACTAGTTATTGTTATTTTTATTCCTTGATTTGTCCGATGATAAATGCGAAACGAAAGAAGGATCCTCCTGCTGGGAATTAGATCCTAATCCTTCTTTGCCCCCCCTACAGAGATGAATTGATCGATTCATCGGATCCTAGGTCGGGACTGACGGGGCTCGAACCCGCAGCTTCCGCCTTGACAGGGCGGTGCTCTGACCGATTGAACTACAATCCCAGGAAAATAAATTAGGTGTACAGAAATTCGTATTTATATATATCTTTCTCTTCATTATTCATATTTTATGTCCTAGGACATAGATCTTCTAGATACCCATTATGAATCGCCCGCCAAAGTCTTCCGACTTCTCCAATGTTCCAATCAGATCCGAAGATAAATCAATCAAAAGTCAGTGGACCTGAATTGAATCATGACTATATAAGCTATTCTGATATTAAGTTCGATATAGATTCAATAGTGGAAGCGGACCTTTTATTTCCTTGGACCACGTAAGAATTCGTCGTCCGATTGAATCTTCTTGTTCCTGAATGCTTCATAGGAATCCATCGCTATTCCTTTATCGATGGAAGAAAGGTTCATTCCGAGTCACAAGAGCAATTTATCTTTTTTTATGGTAATGCAATGCAAGAGGTCTCGGAAATCGGGTTGTTTCTGATGATGAAAACCCGATATTTAAAGGTCGGTAATGTTAGAAGACGACTGTAGGTATCTTACTTACCACTAAGATACCTACGGTCGGTATATCTTTGAAAGCTCAGACGGAGAGAATAAACGGACTCCTCGAGGGCTACTTAAGGCACTTTAGTGCAAACCAACCAGAAGGACTGAAGCTGTTGGATGTTGCTCAGTGCTGCTATAAATTAACAACCAAAAAGCTCTGCGTCGAACTTCAGCCCCTTCGAGTTGGCCACGGGGCAACAGCCTCTGACGCCCCTTCTTATTCCATTGCGGCAGGAGGAGGCTTGCCCAACAAGAGGCCTACTTACTTTGCCAAGACGTGGCAGGAGCGCAACGACCTAGCCCAAACCTACTTAAACTAAAGGCTTGGCCCGGTCTGAAGGAAGAATAAAGTAGACCTTGTAGAGAAGCGGATAGGAGAGGTAGCCTATAGACTCAAGCGATCAGCTCGGTTAAAACTCACCCCGTATTCCATGTGAGTCAGTTGACTTCGATTAGACCAGACCGACCCAGAGAGGGAAGGGAAGGAACGTGCCCAGCCCACGAGGGTACCACCAGATGTTGTAGATTCACTTACTAAGAAAGAAAAATAGTATATATATCATAGCTGACCGCACCATGGGCTAGCCCATACACCCACTGCACGAGTAGAATACTACTTAGTCAAGTAGAAGGGCCAACCTGAGAGCGAGGCAAGCTGGGAGAAGAAGGGCTGAAACTTACGATTCGAAGACCAAGTAAGAGACTACTGGGCGTCTCGCAGAGCGACTCTCAACGAGGACGTTGAGACTTTTTAAATTAAAAAAAATCTTTTTCTTAATCCGCCTTTACTAAAGATCAAGGAGTACACTTGTATTCCGGCTAATAAGGGAAAGGTTTTTTTTTCAAATCCAAGTTTGACTCTGATTATATCCTTAGCGCAAGCGCTAAGTCAGCCCTAAACTAAAGGCCTTATGTAATGTAAAAAAACCGAGGAAAATAACGTCAAGTAGAAAGGAACAAGGTCTTACGGCACGATCGCTATATCTTTTATTTTTCTTTATCTCTCCTCTATAGAAAGAGGGGATGATACGTGGCGTGGTATACCTGATCGTTTGGTCAACGAGACGTACGTCAGTCGACATAGCTCCATTTAGATTAATATATATTTATTTCACTTAGCCCGCCTCTCCCATGACTTTCCGGACCCGGATCTGCCCTCGAAAGTCTCTCTGCATTTTGGGAGCAGAGCATGCAAAATCGAGCAATGAATCTTATAAAAATGAAAAGCCCGGGTAGAAGCACAAGCAAAAGGATAGAGTAAAAAAGGGGAGGGGGGAGGAGACTCGCCTCAATACTTCCCACTGGACGAGAGGCGCACCTAACCCACCTACCCAATCATCAATCACGGTGTTCAGCTGACTTGCACTGATAGACCCCTATTGTCTTGGAATTAGGCGCCCATCTTTTTACTGTTGTCAACTAATCTCTTCAATCTTTGATTCTACTCTATGTTAGAACATTTCTGTGAATGCTATTCTGATCTAAGTGGTCCTATTCTGTGTCCCGTGCTAGGAAGCATTATTCCTCTTTTCATTCCAAATTCAAGCATTATCCCAAGCTAGGTTGTAGCCACGACGGCGCTGTTCCTTTCTCTTCTCCTTTCTCTTCATTCTGACCTTAAGAGAATAACTTCGCTCTTTTTCTTCTGCCTCGATAGAACAGAGCCTACTATCCCCAAGAAAAAAAACTACACCAAGTTTGGATCCTATTGATGAGGTGCCAAGTTTATCGCGGGGCGGGAAACCTATCCTAAACCATTGATGTCTAAAAGACCAAGTCGTTTTGTCAAAAAAATAGGATTGCCGTGCTTTTAGGACTCAAAGTAACGATCCTTCTCCAGTTGGGGAATTCCTTTGAAGACAATCGCTCTTGCCTTCCCCGGTTTGATACCGTTCCGGGAACTAGTCATTAATTGCCAGCGAGTAGTCTGCCTAGCCGTCATCCTCCTGATCTTCTTCCTTTGCTATCCAAACGGTTCGACATTCCCCAGCGGACCTTACTCGGCTTAGAAGGTCTTGAGGGTCTAAGTCTCTGCGGTCAGCATTAAGTAAGCCTATCAAAATTTCTCACCAGCCTCATGGGATTCGCCTTTCTTACGTCTACTAAAAGGAATCAATGTCGGCTACTGCCGGGTACCTGTCGGAGATTGACGAATGTTAATTAATATAGTATGTTTGAAAGGGACTAAGCCATCTCAGATTTTGAAGACGATTACTTCTATTGTCTCGAGAAAAGAGAAAGAGTATAAGGAATAGGACAAGTTGCCCTAAGGTAAGTGACTTCTTGACCATTAATTCTTTGCATATGGGCAATTTACTGTTTAATAGTATCTAAAACTACTACCCGCGTGTGAGTTGTCAGCCTATCAATATCCAATATCAACAGGGGATTCTATTTGGTCCATGTCTTATTAGCGAAAGGGGTAGCTTTTCGCAATCCGACAATAAATAAGGGAGAGACTCGCCCTAACCCGAGTGCCCGAGCGATAGAAATAGAACTGATTTGTCTTTAATTTAATACAGAAAGACAGATGATAGGAACTAGCGATCCTTCCACTTGAAGCGAAGCATACTGTTAGGTGGGACTCCCTTTCGAGTAAGCTACGGTCTCTCCTTTTACGTATTCGTTTCGACATGGATCTGACACCGGATTACCTTACCGGCTTAAAGAAAAAAAGCACTAGTCTACTGGTCGTCCCCTATCTAACCAGCGTCTAAAGAAATGCCAATCGGTCAATTCATACGCGGCAAGACACCTTTCGTTTACGCAATAGAAGAGAAGCTCATAAAGCCAGCACAACTAAAGAAGGCCTGACTTTCCCTTCGAAAGTGGCTTCGTGAGTTCTTGATACTGAATACCAAGCCTCTTTCATCATTCCCCTTAAGAAATCCTTCCTTATTGTAGGGGAGAAATGATGGCACCGCCCCGGCATAGAATGGAATTGATGAGGTTTACCCAGATCTTTATCTTCTATCCATGAAGAGCTCGTGACTCTTCGCCCCGTTGCTCGCATGAGTGAAGGGAAATGCAAGTATCTTTATTTCCAGGTTCACCTGTGAAGGTAGAAAGATTCTCGTTGCTTTCCCCTTTCCTGATAGGTCTGGGACGGTCCTTTTTCTCACCTTGAAATCCAGCTATTCCAACTCCCTAATAGAATGAAGGGCAGTTGGCTTCATGGCTTGCTATTTTATAGCTGTTTACAATCCATATCTGACAATAGAAAAGGAAGTATCCAGCATGGATGCCTACAGCTGGAACGGAACAAGGGCTTGAAGAGCTTTCTTGAGGGGTTACGGGATGAAGCTACTAGTACAAGACCCTGACTTCTCCTTTTCTTTTGCCTGAGCTTCCCTCGGGAGCGACTGGCGTCTAGCTCCATTTTGGGTTCGTTTGCTGACTCGCCTTCCACTTTGACTTCCACCGGACCAAAAGAGAGATCGCCCAATGGCGTAGATCAAGAAGTTTCCGCTTCCTCGTTTGAGCTGCTCCAAACCTTTTCAATCCAAACAACTTTGATTTGAAGTCGGCTTGACTTGCTTCTTTCTCTTGTTCTAACGCTACTGTGCCTTCCGTCCCTGATTCGGAATCGGAAGAAGAAAGTTTTTTTCTCCTTAATCGATCGGAGTTCCCGCGCTTCAAGTTTCTTTCATACGGACATACATCAAGCTCTTCTTGCCGAGTTTACCGTACCTCCGGCCCTTATGTTACGCGACCGTAATCTTTTTTTACGTTCCACCGCTGTTACGCCAGAAATAAAAGGTTCCACACGAGCTCCCGTTCTGCGGCGTGGTGGCAGGACCGATAGGAGATTGGCTCCGGGTGTAGATAGGGTAAAATCCGCAGGAGTCATGCAAATACATAGGCCCCTTCCCCTCTCTTTTAGATGAATGGGGTGGTTTATAACGTCCGATCGAAGGTCCCTCGGAGCGAGGGGTTAGGCAGGTAGTATGGGCCCTCTGACTTCCAGCTATGTCTTGTGCGGCTCCCGCGAAGCGAATGAAGGTAAGCTCTTCGAGCTTACGCTAACTCTCAGCCTCTTTGATTGGTAGGCGGGCGGGCTAAGCCCCCTACTTAAGATTTAATTCATAAGGGTAATTTTCTGTTGTCGTGACGTTTTGGTTAGGCCGACTACTAGACTACTAGAGGTTACTTCTAGCTTCTATAGGGGCCTTTCCACTTTGGTGTAGTTTTTCTTTGTATTGGTACTGAATGAACATATCAAACAAAGGCGAGCAGTATAAGCCCTTCTCCGGCCTGGGAAAAGCAGCGAACTCTAGAAGCTAGGGCGTTGTTCACCTTTGGACACGAACACTCTTCCGTTCTCAGCGTCAACCCGCCTTAGAGATTGAACGGCAATAAGATAAAGATAAGTCGACGTTCAATCTAAGACAGCGCTGATAGCTTGTAGTGAACAGCCCCCTTATTTACCAACCGAAAGCTGCCGTACTTAAGTTAAGTAGTTAAGGTTTGGAACCCTAAAGACTATGATAGAAAGCCGTTTGCTTGTTGCCAAACCCTTCGCCTTTCTTTTGTTTTGAATCAAACAAAGTAGGTCACGACTGTTGTCTTTTTGTTTAGTAGGTCGGGGGAAGCTACCGCTTATACGACAGCTCTGCTTCCTCGTCTTGCTTCTGGCAAAGCTTCTACTTTGCTTGCTTCTCTCGCGTTGCTTGCGCGAAGGCTTATAAAATAAAGTCCTTTTCGCTAGGTCCAAAAGCTTCCGTCAAAGCGAAAGATCTGATCCAACTGAAATCCCGCATATCCGCTGCGCTCAATATGCGGCTACGGCTAGGCAATCATATCATGCCATAAAACTCTTTTATATTTTTAGAGAGATCCCCTAGATATACAGATAGAATAGATGTTCATGGATAGACAGACATTCCATTGATTCTTAGTTTTGGGGCTGAAAAAGCTCGTCGATCAAAATGAATGCCCCGAAACTGACCCACAGCACAGCGCCCATTCGCTTCGCGCGCGGGAAGGCAACGAAGTTAAGTTCATGAGACCACGGCGGAGTGGAGCAGCAGCGACACGAAGTTCCTTACCTTAGCTGGATCTCGCTGGTGCCACCTAAACGGTAAGTAGGCGACGGATGTGTGACGTTTGGAGTTGTCGTTCGTGCACCTGTCCCCAATGGAAGAATGAGTGATCCGTTCCCCTGCGGATCATGGCCTTACCACTCGGTCCCCGATGGCCAGCGGGGGATTCGAGCAGCTTACGTTATTTTGCGCTGCGCGTTCCCGCTGGACTGGACACGTGTTAGCTGTAGGAAGTATGGTTCCGAAAGTGACTTCGGTTCGCCAGTTCAGGCTCAACTCCTCGCTTTACGTTGGCGGACCTACACTAAAGGTCGGGCCGGGGCTCTGCGCTCTTTCTTTCTGTGTGGGACGATGCCGGGGAGAGAAGGGAATGCGTCGAGGCGGCGAACAACAACAACACAACTAACTACATTTTGTTCCCTCCATCCATGATATGAGCCCAGTGCATTGGACCCGATGGATAAGATAACTGAGCTGGCCTAAAGCTTGGGCGCTCTACGTACGATGTAGACTCCATCAGATACATATCGATTTCGTTCTGATGGATCAAGAATAGTTGTCTTATCAATAGATATAAATAGGAGATTTCCCCTTTTTCTTTTTTTATGGATTCCCCCTATATCATTCCTACTCTTTCGATCTATCTATCAGAACGGATCAGGCTATCTATCAATCGATTTGAAAATAGCACGTTCATCTCGCTTTTCGTTCATTTCCGCCACGCCAACATAGCCACAATAATAAGAAGCAGGCGAAGCAGCTAGAAGCGCTCGCTTCTAGCCCTTGAATTCTGATTCACGAATTGGGAAAGCCAACACAAAGATTCGATTCTGACTTCGTAGAGCCGGTGCTGCTGTTGCCTGCGCGTAGGGCCCACTCCCGTCCCGGGGCGCTAAGGGGCTTTTGTTTTTGGAACAGACGGCAATGTTTTGCTGACGCCTTGAATCAAGCTTTTGTTGCGACATGCTATGTTTTCTCCCCCATTGCTAGTAGGTTGATGGGTCGCACGCCCGGCACACATGTTTTGGCCTTGTCTTGTGTGTCCATAACTAAAAATAGGTGACCTAACGGCCGCCGCCCGACTAAACATACCAATAGTCACCAGATTCATATGGGCTACTGAGGAGTAAGCAATGATCTTCTTAAGATCGATCTGTCTTGAAGTGGTCAAGGAAGTATATATTATAGCAATCGCGCTTGGAGTATAAATCAAAGGAGTGGAACAAAGTGTCGCTTCGGGAAACATGGGTATTGAAAATCTTAAAAACCCGTGGGTTCCCAATTTTGAAGGAATTCCTGCCAAGATGACGGATCCTGCTGTAGGTGCCTCTACATGAGCTTCGGGTAACCAAATATGAACTGGTACCATAGGCACTTTGACGGCGAAAGCGGCGAAAGAAGCAATCCATAGAAAGATTTGGCGCCGCTCACTAAATTCTGTGGTTAATGAGATTTGTAAATCGGCGGTCCCTGTTTGGAAAAGAATCAAAAGAATAGCTAATAGCATAAAAACGGATCCAAGTAAAGTATAAAGGAAAAACTAATATGCTGCCTTGATCTTTCTTTGTCTCGAACCCCATACCCCTATAATAATGGTAGAGTCAGGGGTGGCCCCAAAGCGGAATTTACCGGTGGTGGTTGGTCGAAGCTCCAGTAGGTAGCCACTCCCTTCTCAGGGAACCGTACGTGAGACTTCCGCATCATACGGCTCCGTCCCGAGCTTCCGTCGTCGGCCCTTGTCATTAGACCACTATCTATGCATGTATATTAAGCCTGGACTCTCGAATCTTTTGCTTCTCGGGTGGTGGTGAACAATGCAGCTTGCGTTGCGGGAGATGCCCGCCCGTACCGTAGGGCCCGGCCCGCTTCTCGCCCGAAAGAACCGCTCAGGACTAGTGGGGGGCCCTATCTGGAGACATACTGAAAACCATGCCTTTCGAACCGAACGCAACGCCCGTCTTCCAAATCCAAAAAAGGGCTCGTTGGGAAGAAAGATGGAGTGCGGCCTGTAGAGCACATGTAACGCACAGTCGGGTTGCTCACGCAGTGGATCTCTCTCTCTAGATATCTAGAGAGAGAGATGTGAAAGTAATAGCCTTTATTTTATGGCCGCCCCCCGACTTACGGCTTTACGCTACTACTACTGTGATGTGAGCGGTTCAAATTGCTTTTTTTTTCCCAATTATCCTGGCCGGAACTTGTATGCAGCACTTATACGAAGGTGCATGCATGCATAAAGGTTTGGAACTCTTTTTTCTTATCTGAATCTTAAAGACAGGACCCTACCCTATTCTTTTTTCTTATACGTAACATTCAGTGAACAAGAAAATGAATCAGTATAAATATCAGTGTATTTTCTATATTCTCTTATATTTTTATTTGAAGTTTTATTTGATAATTTTTCTTCAACATTTCTGCTGCATTACACTATGATATATTACCAGAAAATTTGATAATTACTCCCAACAACTAATTCATCTAATTAATATATATATTACACTTTTAGTTCATTCATACATCTTTTTTCTGACAGGTCGGATCCATTTCCTTACATTTTATTCTCATTAAAATCTATCTCACAAATGAAACCAAAACCCTGAACAAGAGTAGTTGATCAATCTGACGGTTTGCATTTGGACACGTGTCCATTTTAAGAAACTAAATTATGGTTTGGGTGTTTCCAAAACTCCCCCAACTACGAGAAAGTGTTCGCATAAAACCTGGAATAGGCCTTTACATGAGAAGCAGGACCAATATCACCTGCCGCATTGCACCATTACCGCCACCACCACCCACCGCCGCCGCTGTTGCCGTCGCCGCAGCTACTTTACCGTTTATCTATTATATGGTATCGTGCTTCTTTCTCACTTCACTAGCTTAGGTTTTTGCACTGTGTTTTTCTATCTCAGAAAACAACAATGCCCATTCAAGGCTTCGGTTATTGGAAATTGGTTTTGCCCCCCTTTTCAGTTTTCATTCTTTTCTGCCTAAAGTTTCAATTTTTAGTGCTAAAAAATTTCACCTTTTACTGTTAATTGACTTAATTCAATTGGGAATCAACTTTAGTCCTATATATGTTTGTGTTTGTGTTTTAACAAAGTCCAGTTTCAAGTTGCTTTGTCAAATTTACTTCTTCTTTTTTATTTGTTGCAAGTTTCTTTGATACTCATGGTAGATGTCTGTGGTGGCTTATTGAATTTCTGGGCTTTGAAAGTTTGAACTATGTTATTTTTTTTTCAGTTCTCTTCATCTAGTTCTCACTCTTTGAAGCTTTACCAACTACTAAGGAACCATCATTCTATCACTATACTCGGTATTATATTCTGTACTCTAAATATGTTATGAGAAAATTCATGTCTAATCATGATGTGCAAGATTAATTTTTTTTTGAAATTGAATGTAATGTTCTTTTGACCTCTATTAGGGAGCTTTCCTATTTTCCCTTCAATCTGTTATGTTCTTTAATATTAAGTTTCAACTTGTGATTGTGTGGCTATTTTAATGCTAATTCATGCCTTTGTAATACTTGTAAGTTAAATGCCTTTGCAATAGCAAGTGTGTATCATAGATACTGTGTGATCTAGTTTCCACCCTCTTTTTTCACAATTGATTTCCAAACTAAACCTGGTTTCAAAGACCTTTTTTTAGGTTTCCAATTTTTCTCAAGTTAAATGTAATTGGTGGTGAATATTTTTCTCAACAAAAAAATAATTGTCTTCTGTTTGTGATTGTTGTCATGACATGTGCAACCCTAAGCGTCTGTGTGCAAGTTGGTTCTTGGAGAGAAATGAAACGGAAGACTTGAGAGCATCTCACAAGTGTATTTCATGCCTCCCAAGCCTTGTTCTTCCCTTAGTTACCCTCCAAAAACCAACTCGCAATCAGACTCTAAGAATTTTGAAGATTGAATTGTTCGTAGAAAGTCAACACCATCATAATAACAAAATAAATGTAGAATGACACCGTATACTTGTTCATAGATTCTCAACACTTTTATGATTACCTAGAGTTGTTTCTCTTAAGCGGTGTCTATTTATTTTGCTGAGTAGCAGTTGCTTCGTAGCTTATATCTACAGTTCAATTGATAGTTTCTCCTTTTTAACAGTGGAGAAATTGCTTCTTCGTTCTTTATTGTTGTTTGGCTGCAATGGTACACACTTAAAAGTAGGTGGCATATTGGTGCACTTGTTGAATGTATGGGTAATAAGAGTAACTTCAGTAGCAATACTTCTGCTCGGGTCATTGGAGGACCTAATACTAGTAACCATGTTCCTAATTTCCTCTCCAGAAGTTCGGGAACAGGTTCTAGTTTGTCAAAATTCACATCTGGTGAAACTTATTCAGTCCTTCAAGCACCCAGTCTTCAACACTGGTTTAAAAACTGCAAATGCGTAGGAAACACAAGCTGACAGCCAGTACTTTTGCTAGTGCTATTGGGTTTTGGCGTCAGCGAAAGGTCCAACTTTGGTTAGAGAAGATTGGTGCCTATTGAACCATTCTCTGGAAACCTTGCCACCTGTTGGAGCAATATCAAAGAAGAGGAAGCACTTGATAGATACAAACTGATCACTGGAAATACTGTATTGTTTCCTGAATTTCAGGTTTACGGTGAAGACCCATAAGATGACTGGCTAGCTGCTTCACCTTATGGTATAGTTGACAGCCTGGTTTACGAGTTGCCTTCTCGTGGAGTACTAGAGATAAAGTGTCCATATTTCAATGGAGACATGAGTAGAACATACCCTTGGTCACGAATTCCAATTTACTATATTCCTCAAGCTCAAGGGTTAATGGAGATTCTAGGAAGGGATTGGATGAATTTTTATGTTTGGACTCCTCATGGTAGTAGTCTTTTCAGGTTAGATCGGGATGCAGAGTATTGGTATGTAATGAAAATGGCACTATCAGATTTCTGGTTGAAGCATGTCCAGCCAGCGAGAGAGTTGTATAGTAGTAATGTCATAAAAAATCCTCTTTATGAATTAAGATCACTGAGACCAGCTCCTAGGCATGAATTATGTCACCATATAGTTCATGAAAGCAAACACATCGTTGATAGTTCAAAGTTATTGATTCAAGAAATAAATGGGAAACTGCATAATTGATACATCCACCTGTTAGAGGGGAGTCATTTGTCAGTGTAGTGAGAATTTCGTTATAACGGATTACATAACACTCAGAGTTGTTAGTCTAAATCAATATAGCTTACAACGAAATTGATTTTGCTAAAGGATGATAGTATCAATATGTGATGTTTATTATGGAACCTTCTATGAGAAGAGATGCAGATTTTAAGAGTTGGTTGTTTAATATGAATATTTGAAGCTGGAGATTAGAGAGAGACAAGCTTAACATGATATATAACTTCACAAAATTTAGACATTTGGTGCAGAGAAAGTGGATATTTTGACTACAAGTATACCTCTCTATTTGCTTCAACATTTTTTGTATCTTGTGGGGTTTCTTCTCGTATTCATCAGTACGTTAGATATGTTATATCACTTCTTTATTTAGAACAGTAAAATCATCTAATACTTAAAGTGGATAAATGTTCAAAGGATATATGGATTTACATGCTGTAAACTCTAGTCTGAGGATGCAGGACTACATTCAAACTGTCTTCCTCTCTCTGGTTTTGCCTAAGATTAATACTATTTCTCCTCTTCTCATATTCAGAGTGACCCAGTTTAGACTCCAGTGAGGTAATTTCTTAGAACTAATGAACTTGAATCGAAGCTTCAGTTGTAATTTTTATTGTCAATTGGTTTAAATTCATTGCAATTTACTTGGGATATTTTTTAAGGATATTTTAAGGTTAGAGTTATATCTTCTGTGTAAACTGTAAACTTGTAAATGTTTTTCCCTTTTACCGTGTTACTGTTTTATCCTGCTTAGTATTATCATAACACCATGGTCATTGGTGAAGATCTAATTTATGTCCACATGATGCTGTATGTAATTGAGAACAGATACATTGGTGCTGTTTAAGTAGTAAATCTTATTTAGCAATTAGTTATAATCGAACCTCTTCGAAGGCTTCACTCTGTATGAGTAAGAGAACTTTTTTGCATGCTGGATTCATAGATTGTGCTCTCTTTTTTAGTCACCTTGTCATACACACTCTTGTTGTCAGCATATGTTTGTGTTAACCTATTAGACATTCATATGTTTCTTATCTTGAACTTTGAAGCCCTAATTACAAGCTCTCTATCAAGACATAAGTACAAGATTGTGTGGAGGAGTTTACTTAGTTCAAGGATAAGTGTGAAAATCTGAAGTCATTGGCTGATGATTCTGAGTCTCTGATACTGTAAATTATGCCTTTGAAGCTATTACAAAAGAAGATTCATGGAAATGGCTTAGAAGTTAGCATATTTTCAGATGGGTCTGCTTATGGGTATATCCTTGGCTACAATATTGGGTGCATTTTTTGGATTTTTGGCTACTTTTTTCATTCAAGGATGGTCAAAGTCCTTGCTGATTATCAGATATGGGGCGTTGATATGCTTGTTATTGGTTATTAGTTTGTTATGACTTTATCTCTGTATAACAGTTTTGCTACATAAAACTGTTGCTGGTTTGTTGTGCTTTGAATCTCAACCTTTTGAAGTTTGACATGATGTTTAGGATATGAGCTTGCCCAATACTGTATGTTGGTTGCTTATATTGTAGGATTTTGTTACCATATCCTTGTCCTGATATTGTCGAATTGG